TGAGTGAGACTTAAGCGTATAGCACGACGTTTATAGGTTAAATTCGGAGTGACCAAAAATCACTGTAAATTTTTCAGGTGCACCTGATGGCCGGGAAACTCGCCTGACATAGAAACTAAAACCTCGCCGTAGCTTGAATTTATCTAACACTTTAAAAAGACAACAAAAAGTTTTCTTTTATATCGACAATGAAAAATTTATTAAACAGACTAAATTTTGATCGCAATCGAAGGTTCAACACCAACGGATTTATTTGCGACTTTGATCACCGCTCGTGTCATCAGAGAAAATCGCGAGCAAATTTCATTATTGATTTGCGCTGTTGCACACACAGAGAAGCTAAAGCTTTAAGAAGCTAAAACTGAAAGTTTATGTGATGATCATGGATTTCTTAGATACTGATCTTAACTGTTAACATCAGAATGTTTGTTCTCCTCGCAGAATGAATGCGCGTCCATAATTCAACGGGCTTGGCGTCGAATAAAATTGAAAAGACTTGAATTTCAGGTAATTTGATATAGTAATGACAGAAGATCGACGCCCATTATAAAAAGAGACGACATTTCTGAAAGTAAAACACCTAATAAATAACAAGTACATGATTCCATCTCTCTCTTGAAAGATTAGAGCTACAATGTTAATTCAACGGGTTTGAAGCCTGTATGGTTGACTTTGCAGCTCTGATATTTCAGACTCCCAGAAAATCTAATTAATCTATGTTCCAAAATACCACACATGAAAAAACGTTGAATAATGAAACCTTTGTTTCACTCGCCCACCAGAGCGGCACAGCAGTGTTTAGAGAAGCTGACAAATTGTCAACTAGCGTCATATGCTTTCAGTTCAAAAACAAAATTACCCTAAAAATGAAAAGCACGTTGACTCTGAGCCGTTTTTAATTGGAATATCTTTCTTAAGAAAGTTAAGATGTAGTTTATTTATAACTTTCTAAATTTGACCTCGTGGAAAGCGTACTTCTTTCATTGAAGTCAAACAACGAGTAACACATTTCAACTGGGAGAGCGAGGCTGAAGAGATGTGCATTCACCCGACATAGGAAGGAAAGGGTCCACTGTGTTAAAATAAAACTATTTTGAAATAAATTTTGTGTTTAACAGCAAGTTTTAATTTGTTTTTTTACTCGAGAGTCGAGAGTTGTT